CTGCTGCTGCTGCTGCTGCTGCTGCTGCTGATTCCCAGCCTTCCTGGTGCTCCTGTTGACTCCTCCTCCGGCTCGAGAAAGTTCGTGAGGCTGTACACCTCAGAGAGCGCGGGGAAGGCGGCAGCGTAAGAAGCCGACTGTGTGCCGAGTTGTTGCATTTCCGTCTTTGCAGATTTTCGTCAAGAAGAGGAAAAAGAACAAACCTGGGTGGAGCTCGGCAGATCCGAGCTCGAAAAAACAAATAATACAATTTTGTGAACAAAGAAAAGAGAAGAAAACGGTCCAGAGGGCCAATTACGAACAGACTGCGACTGGAAACGGCCGCCAAGACAGCGAGGTCACTTGGGGTGGAAGGCGGGCGAAATTCCCTTTTCGGAGGCGAAGGAGGAGAAATATGGATTGCAAAAAAGAATGTTTTTGCTTAAAGAAGCCAAAAAAAAGGTGAAAATGTCTCGGAAATGCGAAGATCGACTGGACCTGTTCGTGTTTCTGCTGCGCTGTTCAACTTGAGAAGTGGAAAGCGAGGACAATTCTGCCGGAACTTTGGCAGAAGTCGGAAAAAGAGAAAGCAAAGAATAAAGAGACAAATGCGGTGAGTTTTATGCTATTTTTTGAGTTTAATTGCAAAGAAAACCGCAAATTCTCACTTTGCAGAATGCGAAAACGGAAAGCTGGGGGGGGGCAACGACCCGCGCCCGGATAGGCCATTGGTCCACCTGCGCGTACACTGCATTTCAGGGCTCTTTCTCCAGAAACTCCTCATTTTCTTTTCAGCTTTTAATTCAAATATTATTATTACTTTTATTTCAACATTTGGCGAAAAAACGCAAAAACTAGCTCAGAAGTCACTGCGCGGCACCTTAACCACGGTGTTACTGAAACGCTTCAGACTCCACAGGCCCTGCGAAGCTCTGGCGAACTTGAATTCATTTTAAAAGCATTTAAATGATTTAAAACGAAATTTTAAAACTCTTTTAAGTTCATTTTCCTCTTTAGCGGCGGATCAGCAGCAGCAGACGGCCTCCAGCTCCCCCAAGACGCAGTAACAGCTGCACGGGCGTCAGCTGCCTACAGCTAGCCACAAATAAGTATAATTGGCCCCAGCTAGCCACAGCTAGCCACAGATAGCTGCAGCTAGCTGTGGATAGCTCACGCTAGCCCCAGCTAGCCACAGCTAGCCGAAGCTAGCTGCAGCTAGCTGCAGTTTATGCTGGAGGCGTTTCACTGGCTTCTCCGGTGTACGTACACCGGAGGTAGCGGAGTGTCAGGAAAAGGGAAATTAAAAATCGAAATTTTCAGAAATAAAAAACATTTTAAATCTATTTATTTATTTATTTATTTATTCCTTTATTTATTTATTTCTTAATTTCATTTATTTCAACTGTTTTCTCCTGCGATCACCCACCAGACCTTGCAGCTTGCCGTGCTCAACCCCCCTAAAATCCCTAAACCCTAAACCCTAAACCCTAAACCCTAAACCCTAAACCCTAAACCCTTAGCTCTAAAATTAACAAGCTCAACAGATGCATTTACAGGTTACTGGCACCGAGGACAAAGACAGGAGAAATAAAGGCGCATTTCTTGAAATTCAAAAAGAATAAATAAACAAATTAATATATAAATAATAAATAAATCAAAAACTGAATAAATAAATAAATAAATAAATAAATAAACAATTTTTCCTTTTTCTTTTTTAGCCTTTTAAATGTTTCATATAATCCACCATGAGGGATAATATGCAATCGCCCTATCAGGGGAAATCAACACCCTCCTTAAACCCTAAACCCTAAACCCTAAACCCTAGCTGATAAGGAGCTTGATTCATTAGCTGCTGCAGCAAAAAGCCTATTTTTAATTTTATTTTAAATTTGAAAAGTGGAAAGTTTGAAATAAACAAAAGAAATGCAGAACGCCAAAATTAGAAAAACTTCAAATAAAAATAATTACTTATTTGCTTTTGATTTATTATTTAAAATCAATTAAATTAATTTCAAATGTTTTGTTTATTCTGCTTTTTTTTAAATTAAAAAAACTTATTTTGCTGCTGCTTTAAACGTCAAACTAATTTCAAATTGTTTTCGTCGCTAGAAGACCACAGAAAGCCACTCCACAAACCCTAAACCCTAAACCCTAAACCCTAAACTCTAAACCCTAAACCCTAAACCCTAGATTCTGGTATGGCGTGTCTCACAAGCGCATTTATTCTTTGAATCAAAAGTGGCCTTTACGGCCATTCTTTCAAGTTCAGCTGCAGCAGCAGCAGCAGCTGCTGGCATTGTTGCTGCAGCAAATGGTGGCGTTAAGCAGCAGCGTATTCCCGCCATCTCTTTAATCCCACATTGACAAAAACAAAAAAAAGAAATGAACTTCCAAAAAGACCAGCAGCTACAGCTGCTTGCATGCGTTGCGGGGTGTACGTACGCCGTAGCAGCAGCAGCAGCAGCAGCAGCAGCAGCAGCAGCAGCAGCAGCAGCAGGATAGGCAAACTTAATTCATAAACCCGAAATATTTTGCAGTTCACAATTTACACTTTGCGGGAATGCCTAGCTGCCGTCTGCTGCTCTGCCCGTGCCACTCAAATCCCAAACCCTAAACCCTAAACCCTAAACCCTAAACCCTAAACCCTTAAATGATGCTTCTGCTGGCAATCAAGGGCTTATATCCTTTTTCTCTCAGCATTCCCAAGTACCGCAAACTCTCTCCGGCAAAGGCGCACTGAAATACACAACACAAACCCTAACCGCAAACCCTAAACCCTAAACCCTAAACCCTAAACCCCAAACCCTAAACCCTAAAGCCTTGCACCAAGTGCCGAAGCGAATAGTCAGGCAGGCATAATGAACTTTACGGTATTCTCAAAATGGGCTCCGGAGTTCAAGTGCCGCTTCGCTGTTGTGGCATTAGGGTTTAGGGTTTAGCAGGGTTTAGGGCTTAGTAGGGTTTAGGTTTAGTAGGGTTTAGGGTTTAGGGTTTAGAGCTTGCTTGCCTGGACAGATGCGCCATTCTGGATAAATACTGCAGGGTAAACTTCGCCCCTGATCCCTGCGTTTGCAAAACAACTCAAATTAGGGTTTGGGGTTTAGGGTTTAGGGTTTAGGGTTTCGAAGAAGCGAAAAAGTGCAACTGATGTGAAAACCCTTCCCTTCTTTCGCCCTGTCTAGCAGCAGCTAAAACGCGCCTTCTCTGCACCTTGTATTTAGGGTTTAGGGTTTAGGGTTTAGGGTTTAGGGTCTGGGCCTTTGTTGGATAACCCTACACCCTAAGCGCTAAACCCTTTTTTTACATTTTCACGATTGTCTATTCCTGTACAAGTCTGCTGAACCCACGCCCTCACAAACTCTAAACCCTAAACCCTAAACCCTAAAACCTAAACCCTCATCACTAAACCCTCGACCTTCAACTTTCGACCCAAGACCGTAAACCCCAGACACAACCCCCAAAACCTAAACCCTAAACCCTAAATTCTAAACCCTAGGCCCTAAATCCTAAACCCTAAAAGAGGGTTTGGTGGATTTGTTGAAGACAAACCCGAAAGAGAAGAAGAAGAAAGACAAATTCCATTCAGAAAGAAATGGAGTTTTGCAGGAACATCAGATAAGTCCAAAGCACAGCCCTGAATTTAAAAAGAAATTAAATTTAAATTAAATTTAAATTAAATTTATATTAATTTAAATTTAAATTAATGAATTTAAATTCAAATTAAATTCATAAACAAATAAATACTAAAGTAAAGGAATAATAATGAATGAAAGCAAATTAAATAATGAGAAAAATAAAATTTTGAAATTTTAAACTTTAATTCAAAAATTAAAAAAGAAAAATCAAAAATAAAATAGATCAAAAATAAGTGAAAATCTAATTTTCTACGAGAACTCCAACCAAATGGAAACAATTAGACAAAAATAAATAAATAAATAAATAAATAAATAAATAAATAAATAACACAAACAAATAAATAAATAAGCAAACAAACGAGTAAAAAAACAAACAAACATAAAATAAATAAATAAATAAAATAAATAAATAAATAAAAAATAAACGAATAAAAGACAAATAACTCAATAAATAAATAAATGAATAAATAAATGAATAAATGAATAAATAAATAAATAAATAAATGAATAAAACTAAAATTAAAACTGCAGAAATTTCTCACCACGACATCTCCCTTTTCTATTTCAGGTCCGTCTTCGCCCCCCAAAGCGCTCATCCAGCTGCGCCCCACAAACCCTAAACCCTAAATCCTAAACCCTAAACCCTAAACCCTAAACCCTAAACCCTAGACGAGTAGTAAAGCGGGCTTTCAGAGTCCAGAGTGCACGAAGGGAGGAAATAAAAAAAATGAAGAAGTGAATTTAATTCGTTAAATGGGAGATTTGACGTAAGACCAAAAAAGGGTTTAGGGTTTAGGGTTTAGGGCTTAGTGTTTGGGGTTTAGGGTTTTGAGGGTTTGGGCTTTTCACTGAGGACTCCGAAAATAGCAAAACCTCGAGAGTTTCGGGCCCGCCGTGCCTTGGCCCTAGGGCTTGCCCCTCCTAGGGTTTAGGGTTTAGGGTTTAGGGTTTAGGGTTTAGAATTTAGGGTTTACCATCTCTTTCTGTCTTCAAGAATTTCAAAATAAAGAAAATCTTCTTTTCGGGGAAAAGTCGAAACCCCCAGCAGCACTTCTCCCGGGGCCTCCACCACCACCTCTATTGAAAATAAAATAAAATAAAGTAAAATAAAATAAAATAATAAATAATAAGAATTAAGTATATAATAAACTGCAGCAGCAGCAGCAGCAGCAGCAGCAGCAGCAGGTCCTTAGAAGGCGAAAACGCAGCAAAAAGAGGAAAAAAAAGCCCAAAAAAGCAGAAAAAGAAATCAAATAATAAACAAACACTTAGTAAATAAATAAATAAACAACCATATAAATAATTAATTAATTAATTAAAATAATTAAATAAATAAACAAATAAATAAATACCAAAGAAGCTGCGGTCCTGCTCTATGCTGAAGGGCCCCACAGCGAGGCCCTTTCCCTTCAGCAGCAAATTCTTCACTTCCAAAGAAGGAGACCAAGACCTGCAGCAACAAGCAGCAACACTCCTGCTGCTGCTGCTGCTGCTGTTGCTGCTGCTGCTGAGGATGCTACTGCTGCTGCTGGTGCTGCTGGTGCTGCTGCTGAGGACGATGCTGCTGCTGCTAAGGAGGAGGAGGAGAAGGAGGGGGCAAAGTGCAGCTGCTTAGGTCCAAGCAGCAGCAGCAGCAGCAGCATCCGCAGCAGCAGCAGCGGCAGCAGCAGCAACGGGGCGACGACAAAAGCGGCAGCAGCAACAGTCATGAATCAGCAGCAAGAGCGGCAGCAGCGAAAACTAGCACGAGCAGCAGCCAACAACCACCGGAAGTCCAGCAGCAACAGCAGCAGCAGCAGCAGCAGCAGCAGCTTTTGCTTACTGCAGCACCATTTTCTGAGCCGATTTGCTTGTCCCCTGCAGCTCCCTTGGCGGCGGGACGCCTCCCTCGATATCTGCTGCTGCTGCATTTGCTGCTGCTGCCCAGCTGCTGCTGCTGCTGCTGTTGTTGTTTCTGCGTCGCTTGCAGCAGGACTGCAGAAACGGCAAATGTCTTGCTGCTGTTCCTGCTGCAGCAGCAACAGTGAGCAGCACAGAAACGATGCAGCGCAGCATTGCGGGGGCCTTGGGCCCCTCAGCAACAGCAGCATAACCCTTGTTTGAGCCCTGCATCTTGCTGCTGCTGCTGCTGCTGCTGCTGTTATCCGTGCTGCTCCTGCTGCTGCTGCTGCTATTCCTGCTGCTGCTGTAACGGACACGGCGGCAGATGTTACTCCTGCTGCTGCTGGCGCGGCTGCTGCTGCTTTTTTTCCTGTTGCTGGTGGTGCTGCTGCTCCTGCTGCTGCTGCTGTTGCTGCTGCTGTTCTGCGCTAGCAATGCTGCTGCTGCTGCCGCGTATTTGACTGCATGTAGCTTTACTTCTGCTGCTGCTGCTATTGTTGCTGCTGCTGCAGCAGCTCCTTCTGCGCCTGCTGGAGTTCCGCTGCTGCTGCTTATGCCACTCTTGCTATATCACTGCTGTTCTTGCCTCACTCGCCGCTGCTGCTGCTGCTGCTGCTGCTGCTGTGCTGGTGTGCACCAGCAGAAGATTCCTTTGAGCAGGAAATATATAATCTTTTTATATTTTTTTGTTATAGGAGGAGGAAATGTGCAAAGAAAGAAAGGTGAAAGTGGGCTGTCAACGAATGCACACGCGAGGTCCGGAGCTGGCTGGGGTGTATGTACAGCTGAGTCGACTCACAGGGTGAAATAAACGCAGACAAAACCCGAAAAGTGAATAATAAATAAACAAATAAACAAACAATCAAACAAATAAATAAATAATAATGAATAAAGAATAAAAAGGAACTAAAGCTGCCAGCAGCTTCACCGCTGCTGCGGTGTCTGTACACCTGATCCTGATCACTGCGCCGCAGCTGCTGGGGGCCCCCCAGCACTTCACTTCTTTGTGTTGACGGATTTAAAATAAAATATTAACTTTAATTCTTTTCTGTATCCTTTTCTTTATTTTTTCTCTTTAAGCTTTTTAAAACCCCGGGTTTCCACCCGCAGCTGCATCGCCTGCTGCAGAAGCCCCAGCCGCTGCTGCTGCAGTGCCTCAGTCTTCTTCCCCTTCTGTAAATTTACTAATTTTGGTAATTTATATATTCAATAAATTCCAATTTAGTAAACTTCAAGTTGCAATTGGCTCTTTAATCTATTTCTTCCAATAAAGCTGCTGCTGCTGCAGCTGCTGCTGCCAGTTCCTGCTGCTCTTCGTTTGCTGCCACTGTACCATCACCAGCTGGACCCTTTCCGCTGCTGCTGCAGCACCGACAGCAGCAGCAGCTAGTTCTGCAGCGGCCAGAAGCACCAGTTCTGAATCTGGCAGCAGCATCAACAGCAGCAGCAGCGACAGCAGCAGCAGCAGCAGCAAAGCCATATTACCACCCCTGTTAACCCCAGCACAACCCCAGGCAGCAGCCTCATCCCCAGCAACAGCAGAAACAGCAACCCTCCCAGCAGCAGCAGCAGCAGCAGTCCTCAGCTGCAGCAGCAGCAGCAGCAGCAGCAGCAGCAGCACCAAGGGAAATGGCTGTTCCGAAGGGAAAGCGCAGCGCGTCCCTGTGTCGGCGGCGGCAGCAAATAATATTTTATGACAAACTTGACGGAGTTTTTAAAAGAAGAAGAGAGTGGTTTTACAGAAGTGCTTTTGTTGCTTCTGCTGCTCCTCTGAAGCATTTGCTGCAGCGCAGCAGCAGCAGCAGCAGCAGCAACAGGGTGCTGCAGCAAATCAACCAGCAAATTCCCACCACGCCTTCCCTCGGCTTCAGGTTCCCCGGCTTCTGGCCTGGCAGGTAAACTGCTGCTGCTGCTGCTGCTGCTGCTGCTGCTGCTGCTCTGATGGTGACAGTTACGCATATCCGGCTGCAGCAAAATAGATTGCTGCTGCTGCTGCTGTTGCTGCGGCCGTTAATGGTCTTGTGCTCGCCCTGCTGCTACAGCGCGGATGTAAGAATAGTCATCCAGCAGCAGCAAGAGCAGCAGCAGCCGCAGCAGCAAGAGCAGCAGCAGCAGCAAGAGCAGCAGCGGCAAAAGCTCATGCTGTAGCGACAGTTCCAGCTGTAGAAACAGCAGCAGCAGCAGAAGCAGCAGCAATGGTCGACAACGAAGGCAAACGCAGCGACAGCAGCAGCAGCAACAGCAGCAGCAGCAGCAGCAGCAGAACAGCAGCAGGAGGAGTAGAAGCAGGAATAAAAGCAGGAGTAGCAGAAGCACTGGCAGCAGCAATAGCTGCAGCTGCTGCAGTAGCAACGATAGTAGCAGCGATAGTAGCAGCAGGAGTAGCAGCAGCAGCAGCAGCAGGATCTGGCTTTATTTGTTTTTGCTGCAGATTTGTCTTCGAGAAGGCAGTCAAACTTATCAAGAAATAAATATACCACACTGCAGCAGCAGCTGGAGCTGCAGCTGCAGCTGCAGCAGCAGCTGCAGCAGCAGCGGCTGCAGGAGGAGCAGCTGCAATAGGAGCAGCAAGTGCTGTTGCAACAGCAGCAATAGCTGCAGCAGCAACAGCAATTATAGCAGTGACAGCAGCAGCTGCAGTCGCTGCAGCGTGCAGTCGCTGCAGCGTAACATACAGCATTAGCTGCAGCAGCAGCGGCAAGAGCAGCTGCAGCAGCAGCAGCTACGGCAGCAGCAGCAGCTACAGCAGCAGCAACTGCTGCTGCTGCCGCTGCAACGCAACGTACAGCGTGAGCTGCAGCAGCAGCAGCAGCAGCAGCAGCAGCAACTGCAACACAAGCAGCAGCAGCAAAAGCTGCCTCGTTTTAAATTTTCCGGCTGAGACTACGAGTCAAAGGCTTACGGTTTAGGGTTTAGGGTTTAGGGTTTAGGGTTTAGCGCAAAATTATTAGCTAATTAAATCGAATCAACTTATTTATTAGTAAATAAATAAATAAATAAATAAATAAATAGATACGTAAATAAATGAAATTAATTATTTAATTAGGCTTTTAAATTAAAAATTAATTTTAAATAATAAAATGGCATATGGACTTTTGTAAAAAGAGAAGATTAATTCGTTTAGCCGCAAATTCAGCATTTGCTGCAGCTGCTATTGCTGCAGCTGCTGTTGCTGCAGCTGCTGTTGCCGCCGCTGCTGTTGCTGCAGCTGCTGTTGCTGCATCTGCTGTTGTTGCTGCAGCTGTTGCTGCATCTGCAGTTACTGCAGCTGCTGTTGCTGTTGTTGCAGCTGTTGTTGCTGCAGCTGTTGCTGCAGGCGCTGTTGCTGCGCCTGCTGCTGCTGCATCTGCTGTTGTTGCAGCTGTTGTTGCTGCAGCTGCTTCTGCTGCAGCTGCTGCAGCTGCTGTTGCTGCGGCTGCAATAGCAGCTCATACTGTTCCTTCGGTGCTGTTGCTGCTGCTGCCGGTGCTGCTACTGCTGTTGCTACTGCTACTGCTGCTGCTGCTGTTGCTGCAGCTGCTATTGCTGCTGCTGTTGCTGCTGCTGCTGCAGCATTTGCTGCTGAAGTTGAACTAAAAGGTCCCTTTGGCAGTGGTGGTGGAAAATACAGAAAATGAAATTCAAAAAATAAAACAGAAGGAACAAGCAAAGTAAATTAAATAAAATAAATAAAATAAATAAAATAAATAAAATAATAAAATAAGTAAAACAAATTTACAAATACGAAAAATATAACAAATAAAACAAACAAAAGAAATAAAACAAACAAAACAAATAAAACAAATAAAACAAATGAAATAATAAAGCAAATAAAACAAGAAAAACAAATAAAACAAGAAAAATAAACAAAAGATTAAAACAAAATAAATGAAATAATAAAAGATTTAAAAAATAACTTTTCCAAAAGCTGCCAAAGAAGACCTTTTAAAGATTTAAATCAAAAAGCGAAATTGAAAAAAGTAATTTAAAAATTAATTAAGATAAATGAAAATAAATAATTAAAAACTAAGAAGCGAATAATTAAAAACAATTAAAAAAGAATTAAAAAGTCAAATCAGCTAAATAAACACATTAAAAATAATTAAAAACAATCAAAACAAAAAGAATTGAAAAGAATTAAAAGATAATTTGCAAACAAATAAATTAATAATTAATAAATAATTAATTTTTAAAAATAGTAAATCAATCAATTAATGAAACCAGCAAATAAGAAAGTATTAAACAAAAAACAAATAAATAAATGAATAAATAAATAAATAAATAAATTAATTAATTAATTCACTACTCAGTGTAAAATATAAAGTACGAAATAAATAATATAAATCTATAATTAAAATAAATAAGTAAATAATTAAAATGAATAAATAAATAAACAAATAAGTAAATAAATAAATAAACAAAATAAATACAAAATAAAAAATAAAAATAAATAAAAATAAATAAAAATAAATAAAAATAAATAAAAAATGGAAAAGACAAATTGCAGAAACTGAGTTCAAAGAAGCTGTTGAGTTTTTTTGATAAAAAAGATTTGTTTTGAATTATTTAAAATGATTTATCTAACTAATTTAATTAATTTCATTTTATTCAATTAATTTGATTTAATTAATTGAGTTTATTTAATTAATTTAATTTGATTAATTAATTAATTTTATTTTATTCTTTTCTCTTTCTTTATAAGGCTCGAAGTGCTGCCTTTTGGCTTTCTCTGGGCAGCAGCAGCAGCAGCAGCTGCAGCGGCAGACGAGGAGCCCTGCTGCTGCTGCTGCTGTTGCTGCTGCTGCTGCTGCTGCTTCTGCCGCTACTGGCGTGCCTGCAGCAGCAACATGTGTTTTTGTGTGCGTACTTCGCATATCTGTCTGCTGCGTGCTGCAGCAGCAGCACATTTGCTGCTGCTGCCTTGCTCAACTGCAGCGTAGCAGCAGCAGCAGCAGCAGCAGGCGTATCAGCAGCAGCAGCAGACTGCAGCACGAGAGAGCGGCGCAGCAGCAGCCGCGCCTTAAGCGAGGTGCTGATGCTTTCCACTTGCTGCCGCACTGTAGCAAGAACAGCAGCAGGATCAGCAGCAGCAGCAGCAGCAGCAGACAAGATTTCTGCTGCTGGAGGAAGACACAGAGATCCCAGCAGAAACAGCAGCGGAGGGGCTCCCGTGCTGCTGCTGCAGCACCGCTTGCTTCTGCTGCTGCCACTGCTGCTGCTGCTCCTACTCCTATCCCTGCTGCTGCTGCTGCTGCAGCAGCAGCAGCAG